TGAGCGCGCGCCCCCTACAGAAAAAAGTCTTGAGAATTATTCCCCCGGAAAACGCGCGGGGGGGGGGGCGAAGACGGAACGGCAGCTGTGTTTTATTTGTCATCTAGTTAAGATATAAAATTGCGCAATGACACCGAAGTCATGTTCCCGTTGCAAGCTTCTGCGCGTTACAAATGATCGTGAGCCGGGAGAAACAAGTGCGAACAGCAGGTAATGCTTTAAAAGACAAATATTTTTCCATCGACGGATGCAAATTCCCATATTCTCTGCAATGAGAGCACAACGTCTCTTGTCTCCGCAGAGGATTTTGTCTATTTGTCTCTCGGAGGATTACTTCCAGAAAAAAAAAAATGGAGTTCTATTAAGCCAGCAAGATTTGGATGGAGGTCCGGACAAGAAAAAGGCCTTACAGAGGTTACAACGAGATTGAAGTCTCGCACCTTTCTCTTTGCTGAGCTGTGCTGCTGAATTTTATCATGTTAAGTGATTTTGTGCTTCAACGAGCCTTCAAATACCTTTCTCTATTGGTGCAAATGCTGCCTTCTGCCCTTCCCTCCAGTGTTGTGCGCTGGTGTCCTCAAACAGCCTTGTAGTGTGGGAACAAAGAGAGGGTGTCTGACCAGAGAGTGAGCATGTCTGACCAGAGAGTGGGCATGTCTGACCAGAGAGTGGGCATATCTGATCAGAGAGTGGGCATATCTGATCAGGGAGTGGGCATATCTGACCAAAGAGTGGGCATGTCTGACCAAAGAGTGGGCATGTCTTACCAGAGACTGGGCATATCTTATCAGGGAGTGGGCATGTCTGACCAGAGAGTGGGCATGTCTGACCAGAGAGTGGGCATATCTGATCAGGGAGTGGGCATGCCTGACCAGAGAGTGGGCATATCTGATCAGGGAGTGGGCATGTCTTACCAGAGAAGAGTGGGCATATCTGATCAGAGAGTGGGCATGTCTCACCAGAGAGGGGGCATGTCTCACCAGAGAGTGGGCATGTCTGACTAGAGAGTGGGCATATCTGATCAGGGAGTGGGCATGTTTGACCAGAGAGTGGGCATATCTGATCAGGGAGTGGGCATGTCTTACCAGAGAGTGGGCATATCTGATCAGAGAGGGGGCATGTCTCACCAGAGAGGGGGCATGTCTCACCAGAGAGGGGGCATGTCTCACCAGAGAGTGGGCATATCTGATCAGGGAGTGGGCATGTTTGACCAGAGAGTGGGCATGTCTGATCAGAGAGTGAGCTTGTCTGGCCAGAGAGTGGGCATATCTGATCAGGGATTGAGCATGTCTGACCAGACAGTGGGCATGTCTGGCCAGAGAGTGAGCATGTCTGACCAGAGAGTGGGCATGTCTGACCAGAGAGTGAGCATGTCTGACCAGAGAGTGGGTGTGCCTGACCAGAGAGTGGGTGTGCCTGGCCAGAGAGTGGGCATGTCTGATCAGAGAGTGAACGTGCTGGACCAAGTCTTTCAGAATAATAAGTGCACTGGGCATTGGACTGCTCAGTTGTATTTAGTATGCACAGCTGCTATGCCGGGAAAGTGGAAATAAGACTAAGACAAGGAATAAGTGCAAGGTATATTTGATGGAATATATATTTCTGTGGCTTTATTTTGGCTTTAAAGCAGAACTGTAGCCAGGCTATGGACCTTCACATATTCCTCACAGGCAGTAAATACACTTTAAAATAATCCTTCACTGACCTCCGTAGCTGCAGTCACTGTGGGGGAAAAAACAACACCTTTAAGGTTTTACATTCTCTTCTTTTTCTAAACTCCCCGCCCACAGGCAAACATCTTATTCATCTCTAATATAGATACAGAGCAGGAGGGAGAGCAGAATACTGAGACCAGGATGGAAGAACTTTACTGCTTGCATAGTAAACTTTGAGGGCGAATTGCTCCTCACCAGGGATGCACTGACACCGTTACTAGTACTCTGTGCCGATACCCAAATGCTCAGATACCTTCGCTGATACCAGAACTTCCGGTGAGAGAAAAATTTTCTCTGACCTGCAGTGCCATAAGAGAACATGGACCTGGCTTCCTGGGAAATCAGGAAGCGGGTCACCACCCGACTTCCTGATTGCCTGGGAAGCCGGCTTTATGCCAGTGGAAGCACCGGTATCGGTACTCGATAACAAAAAAAACCAGTATCGGTGCATCCCTACTCCTCACCATTATGATTTGGTTGAGGGGTTGAGTGGAGGGTTAGGATTTGGTTTTGGGGTTACCTTAAGGGCAGGATTTTGGATTAGGGGTTGCGTTGAAGGTTAGGGTTAGGTTTAAGATTTGCATTAAAGGAGAACTATGACGGGGGGGGGGGGCGATTACAGCTGGCTCTGCCTCTAGATAGGCAGAGCCAGCTGTCAGTCATGAAAAGACCTAACCCCATAGGTCTCCTTTAAGGGCTAGGATTTGGTTTAGGACTTACATTGAGGGCAGGACTTTGGCTTAGGGGTTGCGTTGAAGGTTAGGGTTAGGTTTAAGATTTGCATTAAAGGAGAACTATGACGGGGGGGGGGGGCGATTACAGCTGGCTCTGCCTCTAGATAGGCAGAGCCAGCTGTCAGTCATGAAAAGACCTAACCCCATAGTTCTCCTTTAAGGGCTAGGATTTGGTTTAGGACTTACATTGAGGGCAGGACTTTGGCTTAGGGGTTGCGTTGAAGGTTAGGGTTAGGTTTAAGATTTGCATTGAGGGTTAGGGTTTGGTTCAGGACTTACATTGAGGGCAGGACTTTGGATTAGGGGTGGTGTTGAGGATTTGTTTGGTTTCGGGGTTACATTAAAGGTTAACGTTTGATTTAGGTGTTACTTTGCGAGTATTTGGATCCACCATGTGTGGATTGAGGAAGGATGGATGGAGGGTGATTGCTCATTTGCATGCATTTGGGTGCATTGGTAGAGAAGGGGTTAACAAGAGACAAGGAGGGGAGGCTATTCATTAGTTACATATGTGAGGAGGAGAAATGGAACTATTTCAATGTTTTCTTTGTAATCTCTCTTCATCTCTATGGATAAGCCGTTTGAAACATGTTGGAGTTGGAGGAGCCTGTGTTTGTTTACAGCATGATATGATTTGGAGAATAAACATTGTCCAGCTTGTGATACCGGTCGTCTGTGCGGCAATTGTGTCTGTGAGAACCAGTATCAGAGCCCATTCACACCAGGCCTCCCTTAAAAGGGTGGTTTTGGGATTTTTAAAATGCGTTTCAGAGCCGAAATGCAATTAAAAACGCCCAAAACTGCGCTAATCAGCGTGGCAAAAATAGTGCAGGGAGCAGTTCAGGCGGGGGGTGGTGGTTCGAAACGCACGGACCCGCGTGGTTGCATGAACGGTACCTATAGCAACGTAAGGGATCGTTCATGTCGGCTGATCCATGCCGAAACGCCGAGGCGTGAACGGGGTCTGAAGCGGCAGCGTGGTTTTCTTGCACCGACAAGAGGGATGGGGCCGTGTGACCACAGGACATGGAATATGAGCGGTGGCTGCTTTGTGAGTTTTATTTGGGGTTACGGGTTATATTATACATGAGAATCTGGTTTAGAAGTTACATTCATGGCTAAGATTTGGTTTTCAGGTTACGCTGAGGATCAACCTTTGACCCAGGTGAGGATTTGATCTAGACATTTCTTTAAGGGTGAGAATTTGCTTTAAGGGTTACTTTGAGGGTTACAATTTGATTTAGCGATTATGCCGAAGGCCAGGGTTTGGTTTAAGGATTACATTTAGGGTAAGACTTTGTATTAGGGGTTACATTGAGTGTATGATTTTGGATTAGGGGTTACATTGAGGGTAAGACTTTGGATTAGGGGTTACATTGAGGGTAAGACTTTGGATAAGGGGGTTACATTGAGGGTAAGACTTTGGATTAGGGGTTACATTGAGGGTAAGACTTTGGATTAGGGGGTTACATTGAGGGTAAGACTTTGGATTAGGGGGTTACATTGAGGGTAAGACTTTGGATTAGGGGGTTACATTGAGGGTAAGACTTTGGATTAGGGGGTTACATTGAGGGTAAGACTTTGGATTAGGGGGTTACATTGAGGGTAAGACTTTGGATTAGGGGGTTACATTGAGGGTAAGACTTTGGATTAGGGGGTTACATTGAGGGTAAGACTTTGGATTAGGGGGTTACATTGAGGGTAAGACTTTGGATTAGGGGGTTACATTGAGGGTAAGACTTTGGATTAGGGGGTTACATTGAGGGTAAGACTTTGGATTAGGGGGTTACATTGAGGGTAAGACTTTGGATTAGGGGGTTACATTGAGGGTAAGACTTTGGATTAGGGGGTTACATTGAGGGTAAGACTTTGGATTAGGGGGTTACATTGAGGGTAAGACTTTGGATTAGGGGGTTACATTGAGGGTAAGACTTTGGATTAGGGGGTTACATTGAGGGTAAGACTTTGGATTAGGGGGTTACATTGAGGGTAAGACTTTGGATTAGGGGGTTACATTGAGGGTAAGACTTTGGATTAGGGGGTTACATTGAGGGTAAGACTTTGGATTAGGGGGTTACATTGAGGGTAAGACTTTGGATTAGGGGGTTACATTGAGGGTAAGACTTTGGATTAGGGGGTTACATTGAGGGTAAGACTTTGGATTAGGGGGTTACATTGAGGGTAAGACTTTGGATTAGGGGGTTACATTGAGGGTAAGACTTTGGATTAGGGGGTTACATTGAGGGTAAGACTTTGGATTAGGGGGTTACATTGAGGGTAAGACTTTGGATTAGGGGGTTACATTGAGGGTAAGACTTTGGATTAGGGGGTTACATTGAGGGTAAGACTTTGGATTAGGGGGTTACATTGAGGGTAAGACTTTGGATTAGGGGGTTACATTGAGGGTAAGACTTTGGATTAGGGGGTTACATTGAGGGTAAGACTTTGGATTAGGGGGTTACATTGAGGGTAAGACTTTGGATTAGGGGGTTACATTGAGGGTAAGACTTTGGATTAGGGGGTTACATTGAGGGTAAGACTTTGGATTAGGGGGTTACATTGAGGGTAAGACTTTGGATTAGGGGTTACATTGAGGGTAAGACTTTGGATTAGGGGTTACAATGAGGGTAAGACTTTGGATTAGGGGGTTACATTGAGGGTAAGACTTTGGATTAGGGGTTGCGTTACATTATAAAGTAGGCATTATTCACGTTAAGGGTTAGGATTTGGTATAGGGGTTCCATTAAGGGTTAGCATTTGGTTTAGAGGTTATGTCAAAGGTGGGGATTTGATTTAGGTATAACTTTGAGGGTGAGGGTTTCGGGGGTTACTTTGAGGGTTATGATTTGGTTTAGGGTTTACATTTAAGGTCAGCAAATGTCAGGAAACAGGGGGTGTTTCCTCTGCCCGGGGACCACGGGCACGGCGCAGGGCACGGGTTCCCCTCCGGCCTGGTAGAACTCCTGGTGCCCGGGCTGCGGGTGTGCATGTCGCGCGGCGGGTGCACATGCGCAGTATGCAGGCTGTGCGCGCATCCCCGGAAGCGTGCGCGTAGCGCTCCTGCGCCATTAGGGCCATCAGGTGTGGGCCTTGCTGGAGGAGGTTCCCAGCACACACCTTCCATCTCTCTCGCCTGCCATTGGTTCCTGGGTAGGGAAGCCTCCTGGTTGCCTCGGTGACCGGGGGGTGGTCTTACCTCCCCAGGCTATAAAACCTGGCCTGAGCTCTGGCTTATTCCACCTTATGGTGAACACCTAGCCTCTCTGTTGATCCTGTTGTTACCTGTTGCCCCTTTCGTTGTACTTCCTGATTGCTGAACCTTGGTCTATCGCCTCTGAACCATCGCTGCCCGCCTCGACCCGGACTGGACTTTGACTACTCTCTTGGGTTGCCCCTAAATTGTACTTTGCTTCTGGATTTATCAGCCACTTCCTGCCAGTGGGTTCCTTACCACCCTACTAGTTCGCTGGTACGTCTGACAGCAAATGACTGCTACATTTTCTGAGAAATAACAGTTTCTGGTGTAGCAATTATGACTTTTTCTAATAAAAACATTTGTGTGGAAATATCTGGGGCTCTAACTTCCACACTCAAAAAAACACCAAGCCGG